CGGGCAGGGCTGGCTGCAGCCTGCCGGCCACGATACGGGCGTCAAGGTGTACAACAGCCTCACCCGGAGAAAGGACCCTTTAATCGTGGGCAGCGCGGACGCCGCCTCCTGGTAGCAACTGGGGATTGTGGGGAGCGGGACACGGTGGGAGGTGGGGCGGGAAGGATCGTGGGCTGAGCGTTTCGTGTGGAAAGCGGGGTTGGGTTCTCAGGTGAAATCATTTAGTAAGTAAGAAAATACATGGGCGACACCACTGAAGACACTGGTACAGTCTCAGTGAATTGACAGGGTTTTGGTATGAATTTAGCGAGTCAAGTATAATAATATATTCCCCAGCTGTACATTCCCCAAAAGTGGTTACTTAAAAGAAAAAAAGACATGGTTATATGATAATCCTAACTGAGATAGTGGTGCCTTTTCTTGCAAATATGTTTCACATGCTGGATTTTAACTTTTTCCTAGGTATAGCTGTGGACCAACTGTCTATGATCATGCACACCTTGGCCATGCTTGGTGAGTGTCCTGAACTGCAGGTTTTTTCATCTCTCAAGTGGCTACTTAAGAATCCTGAATAATTACTATATTCCAGGTCATGTGGGAAGCCCACATGTTACAGTCTCACTTGGTTCTTGTAACAGTTGTAAACACTTACTTATACCAGCTTTACAGGCGAGGCTACTCAGGAGGCCATGAGGAGCAGTGAAAAGGACCCATTTTAGAATTAGATGTTTCTTGATGGGCTTAGTGAGATGAGGCCTTTCTGGTGGCCCTGAAATCAGCTGGTCAGGACTTATGTTTGGCTCCCACCATTTATTTCCCAACTTTGGACAGGCCACGTTAATACTTTGAGTCCTGGTGTCTTCATCTTGAGACAGGGGTGATAATGGTATCTTTTATTTTTAAATCCTTAACTGAGGATATGTTTATTGATTTTTAGAGAGAGAAGAAGGGAGAGAGAGAGAGAAAGGAACATTGATGTGAGAACATCCATGGGTTGCCTCCCATACATGCCCCGACCGGGGACCAAACCTGCAACCTAGGTATGTGCCCTGACCGGGAATCGAACCCAAAACCTTTTGGTGTACAGACGACACTCCAGGCAATTGAGCCAGGGCAAAAGTATTCATCTTTTTGGATCTTCACAATTTTATGAGATCGCTGCTTAACAGAATACCTGAAGTGTGATGTGTGGTGAGGGTTCAAGAATTATTGAGGATAAGTAACCTACCAGAGGTCACACAAATGGGAAGCGTTGGACCTGGGGTGGAGCCGGACCTTTGTGCTTGCTCTCTCATTTGTCAAAATTGCCACTTTCCCTAATATTTTGTATGCTCTCTTGTACATCACTTAAACTGGTTATTGTTTAAACTGGTTATTGTTTTACTTTTATTGTTATAAAAGTAAAAAGTTACCTTTATTTAGCAACACTTTTTTTTTTAAAAGTCTATATCATCCAGCAAAATCTGAACTTTTGAGTGTTTTGTTATAACAAAATAAATGGTCTAGGAATCATTTCTTTTTTCTTCACTTTGGACTAACTTACTATTAATTATAAAAACCATACTTTGACCTTTTTACTGAGGTATAACATATGTTGGGGAAATATTAAAATAAATAATCTCCCAACCTGAAAAACCTCTCCACAAAGGCAGAAGAGACAGAAAACAATTTTCTTATTGAATAAATTAAACTAGAATGAGATGCACATTATAGGCAACCCACTAAAATGATTGCAAAGACAGAAAGAAATTGTACTCTTCTATAGAGCTAAGTGGATACCACTCACTAGTTAGGCAGGGTTTGCAGTGTGGAGTCTGGTTGTCTCCTCCTCTCATTGGGAGATAGAGCATTATTTTCCTTGATGACTTCATTTTAAAGAGATGGCTTCCAGGTCCTTGAAACTTTCCTGAGTTGTGACACTGACAGAGGCTTACTTAGTCATTAGAAAGATTTACGTACATTTTAAAAGGACTGAGGAAGAAATTCTGAAATGAAGGGGGAGTGGGAGAGAGTCTCTCTTATTTTCAAGTAGAGAATCAAGCCTCTAAGTTATGATTTGTATTTGCCCTTACAAATACAGAAAAGAGTACAAATCTTAAGTGCACAGCTGAATGAATGTTCATGGCTCTCAGCTGGAGAAACACAACATTACCAACACCCAAACCTTCATCTTTCCTTTCCCCCACCCCCACTCAAGGATTACCACTATGGAAGTTTTGCTGGTGAGACAGAACCCATTCCTCAAGAGTTATTCAATTCAGGAGTCCCCTTTGAGGTAGAAAACCTAATATTTCTGAAAATGTTGGGAGATCTTGGGGGCGGGGATGGTCAGGTATGGCTTCACTGCTCTTAAGGTAAAGTTCAGAATCCTAAGGACATCTCTGTGGTTCTACAAGTCTGTCCCTACTCATTCTCCAGGTTCATGTCTCCCCACTTTCCTCCCCAGGCAGCCACACCAGCCTCTATTTAAAAAACACACACACGAAACCAAACAAACGTGTACTTAACAGGCACAGATAGCACTTGCTATGTGCCAGGCACTGTTCTAAATGCTTTACAAACACCAGCCAATGTAATTCTCCTAGTAATACCAGGTGGCAGTGCTGTTATTTTTAAGTTTATTAAATTTATTTGGGTGACATTAGATAATAAAATTATATAGGTTTCAGGTGTACAATTCTATAGTCCATTATCTGTATATTGCATTGTGTGTTCACTCAAAGTCAAGACTTCTGTCACCATGTATTTGGCCCCCTTTACCCTTTTCTACCTCCCTCCACCCCCTTCCCTCTGCTAACCACCCTACTGTTGTCTGTGTCTACGAGTTTTGTTTGTCTTATTAGTACATTTATCTCTTTCAGTTTTATATCCCACATACAGGTAAAATGATACGGTTCTCGACTTATTTTGCTTAGCATGATATTTTCAAGATCCATCCATGTTGTTGCGAAAGGCAAATTTCATCTTTTCTGATGACTGAGTGGTATTCCACTGTATATATGGATGTACCACCTCTTCTTTATTCAATTACCTATAGAAGGACACTTCAGTTGTTGGTTGTTTCCATGTCTTGGCCACCATGAATAATGCTGCATTGAACATAGGGGTGCATATATCTTTATGAATAAATGTGTTCAAGTGTTTCAGGTAGATACCAGAAGAGGGGTTGCTGGGTCATATGGTAGCTCTATTCTTAATTTTTTTAAGAACTTCCATACTGTTTTTCATAGTGGCTGTACCATTTTACATTCCCACCAGCAGTGAATGAGGGTTCCTTTTTCTCCACGACCTCTCCAGCACATTGATAATAGTTATTCTAATAGATGTGAGGCAGTATCTCATTATGGATTTGATTTGCATTTCTCTAATAGCTAGTGAAGTTCTGCATCTTTTCATATATCTGCTGGCCATTTATATGTCTTCTTGGGAGAAGTGTCTGTTCAGCTCTGCCCATTTTTTAATTGGATTGTTTGCTTTTGTTGTTGTTGAGTTGTGTGAGTTCTTCATATATTTTGCAGAGGTGTTTGCAAATATCTTCTCCCATTTGGTTGGTTGCCTTTTTTGTTTTGATGGTGGGTTTTTTTGTGGTGCAGAAGCTTTTTAGTTTGATACTCATTTATTAAATCCATTAATTTATTTTTGTTTTTACTTCCCTTGCCTTTGAGGTTAAATTCGTAAAATCATTTCTAAGTCCAAGGTCCTTAAGTTTGGTACCAATGTTTTCTTCTATGTATTTTATTGTTTCAGGTCTTATATTTTGGTCTTTAATTCATTCCGAGTTAATTTTTGTGTATAGTGACAAATAGCAAGTTTCATTCCTTTGCATGTGTCTTTCCAATTTACCCAGCACCATTTATTGAAGAGACTTTCTTATCTCCATTATATGTTTTTGGCTTCTTTGTCAAAAATTACTTGCTCATAGATATGTGGGTTTATTTCTGGGCTTTCAATTCTGTTCTCTTGGTCTGTGAGTCTGTTTTTTGTGGCAGTGCTATTATTATCCCCAAATTACAAATGGGAATACTGTGATGCAGAGGGCTAACAGAACCAGCCTCAGGTCCCACAGCGGCAAAGTGAGGAACCAGCCACCCTCTCTACCATGCAGCCTCATGCGATTGACGTGGAGTGTCCCCTGGGGGAGCAGCCCACCTGCAGTATCTCAGGGCCTTGCAGCCTTTGAGCTCTTCTGGTGCAAGCATGTGACTTAACTTTGATTTTCACTGTTTTAGGTGCCTGTTAACTTTTTCTCTTAATTCTCATATCTCATAGAGTCTTTTCTTATTCAAGATGAATGAAGGGCGTAGTGATGATAATGGTAATAGTAGCTCATGCTTGTTTGAATTTGTGCTGCACTAAGATTATGTATCACAACCCTATGGGGTAGTGGAATTTTACCCAATTTATGAATAAGCAGCCCGAGACTTCAAAAGGTTAAATATGTTGGCAAGAATTTCAGAGATAGTTTTGTCACTAAAATGAAGGGCTTTGGCCTCAGCTGTGTTTGGGGTGAGTGAATGAGGGCAGTTCAAGGGATCCAATTACGAGGCTCAGTTTCGAGGGAAAATGATTTTGTGAAATCAAATTTAGCAAGGCCACATGGACAACAGAGATGAGCATGAGATTAGCTGACCTTGGATTTTCATGTTGCTTTCATGGGAAACCAGATTCTTGAGATTTTGAATGGACCTTGATGGATTTTTAAACAGTTCAGTTTTGTAAGTTGAGTTTCCCCAATGTAGTGTACCAATGAGATGGTGTGGGGTTTTTTGTTTTTAAAGACCGATTATATATATATTTTTTTTAATTCATTTTTTTGTTAACCCTCACTTGAGGATATTTTTTCCATTGCTTTTCAGAGAGAGTGGAAGGGAGAGAG